AATGTACAAACGTTGTACGTTGCACGCCAAATTAATATTATGCAACTAGTTAAATTGGATCGTGATTTCGATGAAGAATAAAAATTCACTGTTTTATTTAAAACATTTAATTGAACTTCTATTCTAATCACTAAAAACTAAACTTCAACGTCTAAATTATAACTATCAAATTCGCCCAACAAAGAAAACTACTGGAACAAAACTTACTTGTTTGAGCGATGAAATCTGAATGATGTCTGATTCTTAATGTACTATATCTACCAACAGGTAAATTGGTGAATATTATTTTAGCGGGGGTGAATAACTAGAAACTGAATATAACACAGAATATGGAAAGCCCTATCATTAAATGTGAGCACAATCGCCATACAACATTTCTTTCCAGTTTATAAGGGTTCTACGAATACCCAGGTAAAATGTAAATTGGTCCTGTTGTCACTAACTTAGACACTATTTAAAATTACAAATATGAATTTAAATTAAAAATATTTCATGTACACAAAAAAGCGAAAAACTTAGAACTTAACACCGGTTCTATTTTACTTAAGGTAAGGGTATTATTGACTCCTACTTATTGGATGTTAATTCTGCTATATTATCTACAAATTTAAGCATACTAATTTTTTGGATCTGTATATCTATCCCTACTGCTGTCCTGTCTTTAATAATGGTGTTAATCGCATGTTCGATGTATAGATTAAAAAGTAGCGGTGACAGTGTGCATCCTTGTCTGACTGGCTTCCTATATCATTTTCTTCTCTACGCTGCTGGTCAAGCTTTATAACTGCCTGTTGCTCTTTATTAAGGTGACCAACTATACTCATTTACTGAGTTTTGTACTCTTTTTTCGCATACCGTACTGTTTTTAAATCCCGTACTCTGAAAGTACTGATTTGTATAATTTTATATTGTTATTAATGACAATATTTTCTTTGAATAAATTCGAAAAGTAAATTTATATTTAAATGAAGAAAAATTGAAGAAATGGAACGATGAGAAAATAGAACTTGACAAAAGATGGGTAGAAATCTTTCGGCATTTTAGAGTAGAACATATCCCACAAGAAAATTTAAAGGTTTTAATAGAAAATTCCTTATGTTGTTCACACACTAATGCTGCTGTTCACTAGGGAATGATTATTGGAGCAGTGAGAAGTCGCAACTTTCTGTAAAAACATTATCTGCCGTCTTAACAGTCAAATTTAATATGCAAAATGAAAGTTGTTCGGATGTGGCTACATTATTAGACGAACATCCTCATTTAGCAAAAAAAATCCACTCCGAAGAAAAATATGTTTTTAAAAGAAAATAAAGTTTTTATCGTTTTTTCTTCTTTTTTTTCACCTATGAAATACTTTGAAAGTGTACTCTTTTTGAACAAAAAATACTTGATCACCTTATCTTTATATAAACTATGTACCACTCTTCTATCTGTATCTCATCCCTACATTTTTGCGAAAAATTTTTAAATAAAGGAGAGATTGCAATTATAAATAGATAATTTTTATTTCATAATTTTAGGGAAGATAAACTTCTCTTTTAATCATATACTACGTCGTGTAAGAATTATAATTAAAAAAAAAAAGAGAAACAGATTATGTTACATTTGGAGCCTGAGTTAACTTCTGCCTATTCTGATGTTGTTTGCATTGGTGACTGATGAATGT